ATATACTATACTTGTTATCATTCGAAAGGGCTCTTCATTGCGGTCAGTTTGACACCATTGTTATTTGCGCGCAATGTATTGCACGCATCAAACGCGCTATTACGTAATGCATAGTAAATTCATCATTTTGGGCGATAACTTTGCGCTGACATATTCGAATTTTACCAAACCTAGCTGACAGTTGTCACATATATGGATACATATGTCTGCCAAGTTTCATTGAGTTAGGTATAAAGATCGTCAATTTAGAGCAAGTTGAAGTTATTTCTCAATTTTCTTGAAAATGGCGAATGTGGAGGGCATTTTTCGCAAAGTCGGTCATTGTTAGGGTATATAATTTTGTTTATGGCTGGAAAGGGCATATCTTCAAGTATCTAAATCCAAAAAAGGGTACGGGTTTGCCAAGCCATAATGGAGATACGGCCACAGAAAGAAAGCCAATGCCCAGAACTTTAGAGGGCGCTATTTGTGTTTTGCAAAGCCATTGGAGCGTGAAATTTGGCATGGCTTTGTGCAATTATGAGATAAAGATACTGTGTGATTTAAATACAAAACGTAATTTATATGAGAAAGTTATGGCAGTTTTAGATTATTGAGGGGTCAATTTTTCAAGAATTTGAGAGATTGTTGACGGAGACGGTTTCAGATTTGAATTTTGAGTATGAAAATGGCATTTTGAAGGGCAGGTTATGCGCCGCAGATGAAAGGACATCTCTTAGACTATCTAGAGGAATTTGTTAGAAGTTTGTAGGATCTAGGATAGTGGAGATAGGAAGGAAGATAGAAAGCCCTTAAAATGGACCAGAAACGGACAAAATGGCGCCTGGAGGTTTACGCATGAGTGATTTCAGAAAACGAAAAAATAGGTGACCTAGATTGGATATCAGAGATTACGCCTACGAAGTTTGAAGGAATCAAGCAAGAGAAAAGGACCTGGATAGGAATAACAAGCACTACGTGCAAAGCGAATGGGATTCCGGACGACAAGAAGAAAAGGAAGAACCAAGACTAGAAATGCAATCGTGTCACAACGATGTGCGTGCAATGACGCCATGTTTCTACGTGTCAAACGAAAGAGCTTCTCTCGGACTATCTAGAGCAATTTGTACGAAGTCTGTAGCTTCTGTAATATTGGAGATAGGTAGGGCGAAAGAAAGGCCTCAACAGTGACCTTGATGGGATGGTAGTGACTATGCCTACGAAGTTTGAAAGAAATTGGGATAGGGGAAAGAACCTAGAAAGGGCTCGCAAGCACTGCGTGCAAAAACCAATGGGATTTGGTGCATGTTCGCCATTGCAATCAAGATCGTTCTGGGGGCCAAAAGCGTGAACCCGATATGCCCCATAGACAATGCGTGTAATGCATGGGCGGAAAACGTACAGGTTCTGTATTATGACCGGAGTTAAATTGTTTTTTCTCTCTTTCTTAAAGTATCTTTATGGGCCGTATTTGGTATCATTAAAAAGAGAATTTCATGGTTGTTATTGTAAACCACTCTCTTTTTTTTCTATGATAATTCTATCGAAACACGTGATGCAAAATAGATTTATAGGACAAAATGGCGGCTTAAAAAGCCCCCTTGACCAATTAAAAAAATCTGGCCACAAGGTGCCCTGCGTATTGGAACTCGGCATGTCACTGCAAATTTTCAAGGAAAAAAAAGGACGTCTAGGGGGCGAAAAGCAGTCTGAAAAAATGACGTCATAGCCGATACGTGTTAGATTCGGGCGGAAACTCGGCGGAATTCGTGTAGTGACCTTTGTTCAAATGCGATTTACTCACAATTTTCTGCGTGAAAATATACTGTACTTGGTATCATTCGAAAGGGCACTTCATTACGGTCAGTTTGACACCATTGTTAACTGCGCGCAATGGATTGCACGCTTTGAACGCGCTATTACGTAATGCATAGTAAATTCATCATTTTTGGCGATAACTTTGCGTTGACATATTTGAATTTTACCAAACTTGGCAAACATTTGTCACGTATATGGATACAAATGTCTGCCAAGTTTCATTGACGTTCGCCTAAGGATTCTAATTTTAGAGGAAGTTGAAGTTATTTCTCAATTTTCTTGAAAATGGCGAATTTGGAGGGCATTTTTCGCAAAATCGGTGAGTGTTAGGGTATATAATTTTGTATATGGCTGGAAAGGGCAAATGTTCAAGTATCTAAATCCAAAAAAGGGTACAGGTCTGCCAAGCCATATTGGAGATACGGCCACAGAAATAAAGCCAATTCCCAAAACTTTAGAGGGCGCTGTTTATATTCGGCCTACCCATTAGAGCGTGAAATTGCACGCTGTTACGTAGTACATAACAAATTCATCATTTTGGGCAATAATTCTGCGCTGACGTTATCAATTTTTCCAAACTTAGCGGAAAGTTGTCACGTGCTTTGATGCATGTGTATCCCAAGTTTCATTGACGTAGGTATAAGGATCGTCATATTAGAGCAAGTTAAAGTTATTTCGCAATTTTCTTTCAAATAGCGAATTTGGAGGGCAATTTTCTCAAATTTGGTCAGTGTTAGGGTATATCATTTTGTATTTGGCTGGAAAGGGCATATCTTCAAGTATCTAAATCCAAAAAAGGGTACAGGTTTGGCCAGAAACGATGGAGATACGGCAAAAGAAAGAAAGCCAATTCCAAGAACTTTAGAGGGCGCTGTTTATTTTTCTGCATATCCATTGAATCGTTAAACTCAGCATGGCTTTGTGCAATTATAATATAAAAATACTGCAAAAAATTGAGACGAAACAAAAATGGTGTGAGAAAGTTATGGAAATTTATATTTTGAGGGCTCAATTTGTCAATTTTGTTTAGAGACTTTTCACGGATTCGGTTACGGATTTGAGTTTGCAGAGCGAAGATGGCATTTAAAGGTCAGGCTATACGTCGCATATGAAGGAAAATCTCTTGGACTATTTAGAGGAATTTGTTAGAACTCTGTAGGATCTAGGATATAGGAGATAGGAAGGAAGAAAGAAAGACCAGAAAACTGATCAGAAACGGACAAAATGGCGCCTGGATGGTTATGCATGAGTGATTTGGAAATTCGTAGAACGTAGTGACCGTAATGAGATGCTAGAGACTATGCCTATAACATTTGAAAGGAAACGGACATAAGAAAAAGGCATAACTAGGAATTACAAGCACTACGTGCAAAACGAATGCGATTTCCTGACGGAAACAAGAACAAGACTTGAAATGCAATCGTGTCACAACGATATGCGTGCACTGACGCCATGTTTCTACGTGTCAAATAAAAGAGCATCTCTGAGACTATCCAGGGCTATTTGTACGAAGTATGTAGCTTTTGTGATACTGGAGATAGGTAGGTCGAAGAAAAAAAAGGCCTCAAAACGCCCCGAAACGGACAAAATGGCGCCTGGACGGGTGTGCATGAGTGATTTCGGAGAACGAAGATTACAGTGACCTTGATGGGATGCTAGCGACTAAGCCTACGAAGTATGAAAGAAATTGGGATAGGGGAAAGAACCTAGAAAGGGCTCGCAAGCACTGCGTGCAAAACCGATGGGATTTGGGTGCATGATGAACACGTGATGACGCGTGCGGTGGCACTAACGGCCGTCTATACTAACACAATCATGTATAAAATGGCGTCTAAAATAGCCCCCTTGACGTATTTCAAAAATCCGGTTTCGAGAGGCCCTGCGTTTGGCCACCCAGAATACGCTTGCGAAATTTTAAGGAAAAAAAAAAGAATGGAAGGGGGGTGAAAAGCAGTCTGAAAATGACGTCATAGCCGATACGTGTTATAACTTGGCGGAAACTCAGCTGAATTCGTATAGTAACCCTTGTTCAAACGTTCGAAAGGGAACTTCTTTGCGGTCAGTTTGATACCATTGACATTTGTGCGCAATGTACTGCACGCACTTCACGCGCTAATACGTAATGCATAGTAAATTCATCATTCTTGGCGATAACATTTTCGCTGACGTCATAACAATTTACTTAACATGGCAGACAGTTGTCACGTATATGGATACATGTGTCTATCAAGTTTCATTTACGTAACTATAAGGATCATAATTTTAGAGCAAGTTGAAGTTATTTCTCTTTTTTCTTGAAAAATGCATATTTGGCGGGTATTTTTCGCAAAGTCGGTCAGGGTTAGGGTATATAATTTTGCATTTAGCTGGAAAGGGCGTATGTTCAAGTATCTAAATCCAAAAAAAAATGTACGGGCTTGCCAAGACACAATAGAGATACGGCCACAGAAAGAAAGCCAATTCCCAGAACTTTAGAAGGCACTATTTATGTTTAGCATAGCCATTAGAGCGTGAAATTTGGCATGGCAATTGTGACATAAAGATACTGGGAGATTTAAATACAAAACGAAATTTATATGAGAAAGTTATGGCAGTTTTAGATTTTTAGAATTTGAGAGATTTATGACGGAGTCGGTTTCAGATTTAAATTTTGAGTACGAAGATGGCATTTTGAATGTCAGATTATACGTCGCAGCTGAAAGAATATATCTTAGACTATCTAAAAGTTTAAAAGTTAAAAGTTTGTAGGATCTAGGATAGTGGAGATAGGAAGTAAGAAAAAGGCCTTAAAATGCACCAAAAACGGACAAAATGTCGTCTGGGTGGTTATGCATGAGTGATTTCGAAATCGAAGAATGTAGTGACCTTGATAAGATGTTAGAGACTATGCCTATAAAATTTGAAAGGAAACGGACATGAGGAAAGCACCTAACTAGGGATTACAAGCACTACGTGCAAAACGAGCGCGATTTCCTGACGATAACCAGGAAAAAAAGGTCGTCATTGCAAAGACGGAGAAGAAGAATATTAATGGGGCAGAATGTGAACGAAAACAAGACAATGACGATATATGTCATTGCAATAATCATTAATGAAAATACAGTTCACGGTAACAAACGGTAACGAACATTGAAATACATTAATACATATCACTATCAATTCGTATCATGCTAAAGAAAAGAAAAGTAAGGTGATTTACCCACCAGTAAATGGGTCTTCAATGCGGTCCACTGAGGAGACAAAGGTGGGAAAAAAGATTGGAATTAATATACAAAATATAGGTTAAAAAGCGAACGGTAAATCCAGCAAAATTGAGTACATTAATTTTTCTAACTCAGGAGCATTCTTACGATTGTTTAATGAATGTCCGGGTGTATTGACTGTGGACAGATTGACTGATTGAATGACTTTGAATTGAATCGAACGGCTGTTGTAAATCAAATACAATGTCACCACATCAGCGCTCTCTGAGCTAAGTAAGAATCCAGCAGACTGATATGAAATGGAGAACTTACTGATTCGGACAAACAGGTGATGAACAGGATCGCTAGATGGGTCAACAGTCAAGTCATTCTCCTCACTGAGATGGCACTTGCTTAAGGATGGAGTATAGTCAAACGATCTACATATGAAGCTGGAGGCTGACACACAGGCCGTGGCGCATTTTTCAACCGTGATGCTAGACAGGACTGCGTTGTTGTAACCACTAAGATGCCTTTCTTTGATGAACATGAAATCTGTACGACCCGTCACAAGGACTAAGGAATGGAAAGAAAATACGAAGCACAGGGTCAGTGTCATTTCACCAAATATTTTACCAGAATGGTAATCCATGATTTTTATATCATCGGGGTCACTATCAGTATCATCTGCATTGTCGTCGTCGTCATCATGAACATCATCATCAGCATAATAATAATCATCATAATCGTCATCATTATCTCCATCATCGTCATTATATTCATCGTTCAAATCATTATCTGCATTGTCAACGTAACCATCATCTCTATGATCTTACATTTATAATAACCACCATTTCTCGGAGCGCAAATCTAATTTAGTTTCATACAACTTCTCTTTCTGGAAGTCATAGAGCCAGATACGTTTATTTCCAACCTGTTTTACAATTAGGATAAGAAACTTTTACGAAGCTATGTAATAATAAGTGATCGTTTTCATATAAAAACTTACAAGATTCATCTCCCTTGCAGTATAATGGTCCTAGCGTATAATACCCGTACTCGAAGGTGCTTCCTGTGTCACCAAACCTCATTTCAGTAACAGGTAAAGAAGTCTTATCGGTAAGATACCCCGAGTCCTCTCTCCAGGTATTGTCATTGGTATCGCAGTTGCATGGGTGACCGTTGGTACATGAACCTGAAAGACGAAGATCAAGATCCATTCGTTCATAATATATCTCGATGGGATATGTAGGTTCTTCATTTCAAATAAAACGTATTTATATGTTTCTCCGATGTGCTTGATTTTTTGCTTTAGTGCGCAAAAAACTGCAATGTTGACAACTGTTGCAACACCAATTTTCCGGTTTATGATGGTCGTTCATTTCAAATTAAACATATCTACATGTTTTTCCAATGCGCTCTTTTTGCTTTAGTGTGCAAAAAGCTGCAATGCTGACAACTGTTGACAACTGCTGACAACTTCGGTTTATGTTATGGACTAGTACTTCACTATTTGAGATAATGTATTACAATGGCATTACTTAAAGGCGCTGAAGTTGGGGGGGGGGGGGCAAAACGCAATTTTACCCCCCTAAAAAAAGCCCCCCCCCCTCCAAAAAAAGAAAGAAAAGCAGAACGACTGGGCTTGGAGGCTCGAGCCCCCTCACGTTTTGAAATAGTATGTTAAAGAGAGAAAAAAAAGAGAGAGAGAGAAAAAAAATAAGTGACCTGCCGATGTAACAAATAAGGTATCAAAATATGCTCATCTGACCGTAAGTAAATGCATAAAACCCCAAAGCTAACGGGGGCTCCGCCCCCGGACCCCACCAAGGACTCTAAGGCGGTCCCCTGGATGCTCATCTGATCGTCATTAAATACCTTAAACCCCCGAGCTTCCGGGCGTATCCAGGGGGGCCGTCCCCCCCCCCCTGGCAAAAAAAGGGGAAAGATTTTTTTTTCTTTTTTTTTTTGTGTTAAAGAAAGCAAGAAAAAAAAGGTGATCCCCCCTCACCCTTCCCCCCTTAGCCATTGAACAAAATATCTGACGACGTAATTTTCCAATTTCCGGGGCAAAAAAATAAAATAAAAAAAAAAAATTAAAAAAATTGCTGTTAATTTATTGCCTAAAACCCCTGAGCTTCTGGGGGCTTCTACTACCTGGATAGCACCTAGGGCCCAAAGTCAGGCAACTGGGTGCTAATCTGACGGTAATTTAATGCCTAAAACCCCTGAGCTCCTGGGGGCTCCGCCCCCTGGACCCCACACCAATTAATGACTTACCAGTACCACAAATAAGGTATCAAAATACTTGCTCATCTGACCGTAATTAAATGCCTAAAACCCCTCAACTTCCGGTGGCTCTGCCCTCTAATGCTTAAACCCCCTGAGGTTCTGGGGGTTCCGCCCCCTAGACCCCACGCCAATTAGTGACCTGTCAGTGTCACAAATAAGGTATAATTATGCTCATCTGACGTAATTAAATGCCTAATGCCCTGAGCTTCCGAGGCTCTGCCCCCTGGACGCCACGCCAATTAGTGACCTGCCAGTGTCACAAATAAGGTATAAAAATATGCTCATCTGACCGTTATTTATTGCCCAAAACCCCTGCGCTTCCGGGGACTCCGCCCCTGGACCCCAGGTCACTTCGTGACCTGCCAGTGTCACAAATAAGGTATAAAAATATGCTTATCTAAAGATAATTTAATGGTTAAAACCTCTGAGATTCTGGAGCTCCGCCCTCTGGACCCACACCAACTTGTGTCCTGCCAGTGTCAAAAAATTAATAAGGTATCAAAATATGCTCATCTGACAGTAATTAAATGCCTATACTGAAACTGGCTTCTGGAAACTCCGCCCCTTAACCCCGCCGAGAAACGTTCAGCGGGGCCTGCATATAAGAGTGGGGGTAATGGGGATTTTTTTTCTTGGTCCCCCCCCTTATTTGGCTCGCAAAATATCAAATTTGGGCCCCCTAAGAAATCCTGAATCCGCCCCTGGACCCCACGGGTCCTAAGGCAAGCCACATGGATGCTCATCGGACCGTAGTTAAATATCTATAAAAAAAAAAACTCCGAGTATCCCCCCCCCCCTCCCCCATCCCAAACTGCTTCCGGTGCGCCTGGCATTACTGCTGTTGCATTCATGTGAGATAACCCCATTCCATTCAGTGCAGAAAATCAATATACTGAGTTTGAGCAACACGGTTATGGTTGGTTACAATATTGCGAATACTGCTTTGTCGAGGGGCTAGCACAAAACAAATAAATACAAATGCGTCATGTTGTAGCCAACTGATGCCAAGTTGGCTAAACTCTGTACACGGATGGCTCTGATCCTGTAAGCCAAGGACGCCCTCTATGATGACCTACAGTCATACCTGAGATTCCACAAGCGCACTGCCCGCTGTCTACCGTGGCTCCACCCCAGTAGTTCTTCAGCTTTCCATCTCTGTCATACCAAGCAGTATAGCCAGTCAAATAGGAATGATGGCATTCGTACTAAGACGGTGATGGAAGATGAAAATAAAAAGAAGAAATATTTTGATTTGATTTGATTCGGTTTATTGAAATAAAAGAACATGCAGCTGGGAAGCTGAAATTATTCAATTTACAAAGTCAATATACAACACAATAAACGATCAAAATATGAACAAATAAAACGTACGACTATAAATCATGCATAATGAAACAAAATGAGAATCAAATATTACATCAAAATATAAATATATTACAAACATTAAATCAAAATCTAAATATATTACGAATATTACATCAAAATCTAAATATATTACGAAGATTACGTTAAAATTTAAATATATTACAAATATTAAAAACACTAAAAACCTTCTGTGTCATCAAAAAAGTAGAGAGAGAGAGAGAGAGAAAGAGAGAGAAATAGAAAGACGGAACTAGAAAGAGGAATAGAAGGAAGAAGAAAAAAGAAAGAAAATTTGATCAGGGAATATACGAAAGATTGGAGGAAAGGGGTAGAGAGGGACAGAGTAGAACAAGAAAAATAGAAAGAGAGAAGAATCTCTGCCAAGTGCACTCAAGTTGAAATATGATTTAAAAAGTAAAATGACAGATTTAAAAAATATGAAAAAATATAAAAAATGAAATGTGTTTGACATTATAATATATCAACGTCATTTTAAACAATTCGCTAAAGTCAAAAGAGTAAAGTTATGCCAATCCCGCAACACATCAAAGTTCAATGCAAATAATTTTGTAACTCGAAAGGATTATATGTAGATTTATAAAAAAAAAATATCACCTTGAGATTGCTGTAAATCTGCGATCACAGGAAAATATGAAATGTTGAACCCTAGATATGATGTAGCATGTCATAGCGCGTAATATTAGATAGCTTAGACAGATACCGAGATGTGTTTGGTCCAGAGCTCGTCACGTGATTGTGAGGATCCAAATTGTTATATTTTCTTGGCCGGTCACTTTTCGGTGTTATATAAACTAGCTGGTGAAATGAATATATTTTTAATCAATGCATGTCGCCCTCTTAAAGACTGTATGTCACCAATTACACACATTTCACCATTACCAAGGGTAATTGTTTTTTTTTCAATATTTTTTTTTTCATGAATTTTTTTTCCCCTCTAAATTATTTTGTCCACATTTTTTTTCTCCCCAATAAATGCTTTTTGGGGTAAGATTTTTTTTTTTTTTTCGATTTTTCTTTTTTTTTTTTTTCCCTTAAAATTCAATTTTTTTTTTCCCCAAAATCTTTTTTTTTAAAGAATTTTGTTTTTTCTTGAATTATCTCGAAATATTATTTTTCTCAATTTTCTTTTTTTTTGCACTTCTTTTTCTAAAATGTTGATTGTCCCCTTAGAAAAAAAAAAATGTCACCAATTACACACATTTCACCATTACCAAGGGTAATTTTTTTTTTTTCAATATTTTTTTTTCATGAATTTTTTTTCCCCTCTAAATTATTTTGTCCACATTTTTTTTCTCCCCAATAAATGCTTTTAGGGGGTAAGATTTTTTTTATTTTTTTTCGATTTTTCTTCTTTTTTCTTTTTCCCTTTAAATTCAATTTTTTTTTCCCAAAATCTTTTTTTTTTAAGAATTAAGTTTTTTCTTGAATTATCTCGAAATATTAATTTTCTCAATTTTCTTTTTTTTTTGCACTTCTTTTTCTAAAATGTTGATTGTCCCCTTAGAAAAAAAATAAAAAAATGAAAACAATTTTGGGCAAAAACAAAAAAATCAAACCAAGGCTATCTAATATAACAGTTATTGACTGGCAGGGGGTATAAATAGAAGGTCTATTATATATATATATATATATATATATGTAATTTTACTAAAGGCGTCATTGGAGGGACATTTGGAGAGAATAAATGAGTCATTAAGTAGACATTGGGGTTAGGATTAGGGTTAGGGTTAGGATTTTTAAGATGTCCACTTAATGTACTATGTAGGGTTATTTATATATATATACCATCAAGGAACTTTGAGAAAAAAGTAGAAACCTCGGTGTTACCCTACCTTGATATATTGGTAGCACTCCCCGCTGATATCGGCACCGGTAGCCACTTGATCAACCGACTTGTCACCATATGTAATGTTTCGGATGAAACTAAAAGGCGCCTCTGCATCTGTTACCAAAGACCGATTCGTCTCCTGGTGCTCGAACGTCGTAATACCTAGCCGAGATTACCAAGAAAAATTGTAATAATAATGAGTAAACACACGGACAATTTCTTTATGAATAGTAATACATGACCGATTCGTGACTACTTTAACTAATAATTTATCGTTGATATGTTACCTGTGCTAGTATCCGTAGTCATATCACAGTATACTCTGTATGGATCGACTCCATTATTTCTCCCATCAGGATCTATCGTGTAGTATCCATTAGATGTATAGCCTTTACGCTTCCATTCAGCACAGGAAACTGATCAAGAGAAAGGAAGAGGAAGGGAGAGTAAATAATTATATCAAGGATTTTTTTCTTCGGTCCTACTCGGACATGAATTTTTAGTCATCATGGTAAAGCTATTGATCGATGAGTTAAGTGAAAATGAACCTCTTACTGAACGTCTTCAAATGACGGTGATCCTGGATTTACAACAAACAATATATGACATAATTAAGTAAAAAGACAATATTTCACTTTATTTTCACCTATATCATTATAATTCAGCAGATAGGCTACACTAAGCAATAGAGCTAGTCTAGAGCTAAGAGACCTTGTTTAACAAGGTGGAAAGTTCACTAAAGCAATTTATATGTATAACGTTGAATTATACTCGAAACCTGAGTCATAGAGACCATATATTAATTGCAAGCACTCTGGATCTGATTATAGAGTGTGACTTACTGGTGTTTAGCGGGTATTTACAGATGTAGCCGTATGTTGACGAGCAGCCTGCATCATACCATGTGCCGTCTGAACTCCTTCGTAATACACCACAATGATCAGATCCACCAGCTAAATTAAGAAATAACAATATCAGAACTGATGAGCTTAGCTTATAGGCTATATGTAATATTTGATTTAAGAACTGTCGTTGCGAAACCTGCTCCAGTAATAATAGCTCCGCGATCAACATCCTACCCTAATCGAACCCTGCAACAAAAATTAAACACTCGAACCAACATACAAGTATACTCTTACAATACAATTTAAACTAAAATTCTAGTGTAACCTAAACCCAAGCCTTTATTCTATATCTTTGACGAATCACAGTGCGGAGAAATTTTGTAGGAGCGCCACGAAGGTACCTTCAGAATTGTGTTCAGTGATCAATAATGTATTATTATAAATGGAAAGAAGTTAAGCTTGAATAAATTATGCTTATATAATCAGTCTTTATCGGAGGGACATCCATGCCTACCATGCCTAGCGATTTTACTCATTCTGCAAAATGAATTTGTTGTTATTTACTTACATGGTTCTCCAGAATACCAGTTGGTATAGGATGAAACTGAGCCATCAGTCCAGGCCCAAGTTCCCTCTTCATCGAGGTCATTGAACCCAATCCAGTAATAATTCGTATCAAAGGTGCGTCTGTGTATTTGATCAATAAAATGTTTTAAAAAGTTATACAATCTTTTCATAGTAATACCCTTGATAGAAATCATGATACAGTACTGATCTAGGAATGTGGTAGCTTAAATTTGTAGCGCGTTGTATTTGAAAACAGATGTTTTACCATATTTATATGGCTTCATATCATGAATCTAAAAAAGGAATTTTGTACTTGAACAACGAATTTGACGTAATGTCAGATTTAAAGCAAAGTGCAATTTGGTGCCCTATCATCGGCTCCGATCTGTGTGATGAAACTGTGATGGCGTTTGAACCTCTGAGCATACTCGTCCACAGGCCACGCTCTGCGCGTGCTTGTGGGTGAAAAGTGGCATGGGAGGGTACGCGGCTAAAGGTGTGCCTGTGCGTATGGGTGAGGGTTGCTGCCAACGGAGAATTCCATGCTGTGGCTCTTGTATTCGAGAAGTGAGGTCTGGGGTAGGGGGCTTACCTCAATAATGCGAGAGTAAAGTTGCTTTCGTCTTGATCAGCTACGCTCGCCAGATCACCGTAGTCATTGAGATTTCTGCACGCATCAAGGGCTGTAGTATAGTTGACGGTAGATTCAACTAGTTGGTAGCATGCATTACCGTTACGTGTCCAACCAGCGTCACACAGATCCTGATCACTTGTACCATCATCTAGATGATATATTGTACAAATTCAAATCAAGTTGTCTATACAGTAATTGCGTAAGTTCTGTAAATTTCTACGATTCTTTTGATAAGGGACTTATCTTTCATTTTTATAGTTTCATTTTTATATAGGTAGCCCCACCTTATTGGTAATGCATGTCATTCGCACTGGCTTAGACGCAGAGGATTGTGTCCTTCAAAGGAATTTCCGATACGTGATAACCTTGAAAATGTTTCCGTCACGTCTTATGACAATGACCTATGACTGTGCCAAAATTGAAAGAATTGACTGAACCGATTTTGAGTAATCGCTTGCACAAACAAGTGGAGAAATTAATATAAAGAAATAAAGAAAGACAATTTTGACGAAATCAATAGGTCAGTCGTTAACAAACCCCCTAATTACCAAATGAGCTGGACAGAGGGATACAAGAAGAATCAGAATGCATGCACTTGGAAGGATAGGGGATAGTAAGGAAACATGGTAGGGGTGAAAAAGAATACAAAGGGCAAAGGGAAGAGCTAGAGAAAGTTAAGGAACATTACAAGACATAATAGAGGTAGAACAAGATGCAGAGGCGGGAAAGGGAGAGGGGGAGAGAGAGAGAGAGAATAAAAAGAGACTGAGAGAGGCAGAGGATGACATAGCAAGAGAAGAAGAGAGAGGCAAGGCAATAGAGGTAAAGGGAGACAAAGAGAAAGGGAGAGGGTGAATGAGTATATATACAGTGCGTCCCAGAAAAAACGAAACCGAGAATTATCGATGTTTTATCATTACTTAATCATAATTATAATTAATAAATTACACATATTTGTAAAGCTTATACTAAACTCATATGACGCATATTTCATGCATGAGTGATTAAGATGAATTCGAAGAGAGGAAACCAAAAAGTCATTTGGCGGACGGTATCTGAATTTCAAAGAATAAATCACATTTCTAGAAAGTTGTGTTTCTGCCCTTTCATATGACACCTCAGTCAGGAAAAATCAGCTAGGAATAACAAAGTTCTGTTTGTTAAAAGTAGTGCTTGCATTTCCATAATTGTATTAAACGGAGCAACAAGCAAAATTGACAAAAAGACTTAACTCCGTTTCGTTGACAATCAGCCATGCATGAAGTCTTTCGTCTACGGCTGATTGTCAACAAAACGGCAGGCAGCCAGTGAAAACTAATTCGTTTGATAAATTTATGGAAATGCAAGCACTAATTTAAACAAACAGAACGTTGTCATTCCTTGCTCATTTTTCGTGATTGAGGTGTCACAGGGGGGGAAGGGGGTAGTAAGCACAATTGTTTCTATGCTTTTTTATGGGGGGGGGGGGTAACCTACAGAAAACACCCCCTGTGTACGCGCCTGACTACAACGTATCAGTGTTTAGAAGAAAATCGATCAATATTTACAGAGATACAAAAAAACTATATATATATGCTGATGTCATAATATTCAAATTCGTATTTTGAGTTCCAAGGCCATTATGATGATGTCACGATACACTTAATGGCCAAATGAGACATGGAATCATATCTCCGACTCATACTCTATCTAAATATGAAAAAAAAAATGAAGGTCACGGTTCATTCCAAAGAGCTATAAAGGATTTTGTATAGGCATGTTTTTGCCCATATATGCTATGCATTAAAAGAGCTCGCGCGCACGGACATTTATCTTAAATTGACGCTCATCTTGTTATTGATGGTCATAAAGAGATTAACATGGTAGGAAATTGTTTGAAAAATATCAGAAATATCATGAAAGAAAAAAAATGGCGATTCTATGTTTTGTAATGGTGTTACGCGCGAAAACGCGCGCGCATGCGCGTGTGCGCGATTTTTTATAAAATGCTTAAAATGACCTAAAACGTATGCAAAATAAATTTTGGATGTTTTTGAGCATTTAAATTTTTTGCGCGCGCAGTGACGCGCGGACGTACGCGCATGCGCGCGTTTTTGAGCTAATATTGACCTTGATCTTGATAAATATGAATGAAAAATGTTCGTTATGAAGATATGATCATGAGTTAATTTTCACAAAATGGCGCCTAGATGACGTCATCAGTCAAGGTCAAGGTTTAAAACGTGTTTTTGATTTCTCTATACGCCTATACATATATGTGCCGAATTTCCATTTTCAAGTTATCTTGCTAACAAAAAAGTGGTAAGAATTAAGAAAAATAAATAAATAAATAAATAATAATAAAGGCAATTTTAACAAAAATATAAGGTGGTCTGTATTAGATACAGCCCACCTGATAATAAATAAAGGCAATTCTAACGAAATTATAAGGTGGTCTGTACGATATACAGCCCACCTGATAAAGAATCACTAGATTTGTAATACTTGTTTGGAACAAGTATAGGTGGGCTGGTCCAACTAAACTTTGAGACAAAATAGAGCAAACTTGAGCGAGATACTGCTTAAAAATGCTTGAAAAACAATATTATGTAGCTTCATGACGTGAACGAAATTCACCTTCTAAAAGCACAACACGCAAATTATAAAGTTTCTGACACGAGGCCTTAAATCGAGATTTTCACTACGGTGACGTCATCAAAATGTAAAATGGTGACAACTGAGCTTGTAGAGAATTGTCTTAGCTACAACATATCGAAATTTGGAAGAAAATCGATAAATATATACAGAGATACAATCAATTTTCCATAAATATGCTGATTTCATAATATGCAAATCCATATATCGTCGCTGTTTTCACGAAGTGACGGTAGTGAAAAAAAATTGCATTCACTTTGCGTTACGATTTTCCTCACTACCGTCACTTCGTGAAAATAGGGACGATATATAGTTCCAAGGTCATTATTATGATGTCACGATACACTTAATGGCCAAATGAGACGTACATAAAATCATATTTCAGACTCATACTCTATCCAAATATGAAGACAAAAGTTGGGGTCTAGGTGCATCCTAAAGAGCTTTAATTGATTATGTATAGGCATGTTTTTACCCATATATGCTATGTATTACATAGGCTCGCGCGCACGGACATTTATGTTAAACGGACGCTCATTCCGTTATTAATAGTCAAAAAGAGATAAACATGGAATCAATTTGTTTGTAAAAAAATGTGGAATATCATGAAAGAAAAAAAAATGGCGATTCTATGTTGTGTAATAGTTTTACGCGCAAAAACGCGCGCGCATGCGCGTGTGCCCGATTTTTTATAAAATGCTTAAAATGGCCTAAAACGTATGCACAAAAATTTTGAGACTATTTTGAGCATTTTGAAATTTTGCGCGCGCACTGATGCGCGGACGTACGCGCACGTGTGCGTTTTTTGACCTGAAATTGACCGGACGGATAATGACCTTGATCATGAAAAATATGAATGAGAATTGACTTTTGATTATGAAGATATGATCATGAGTTGATTTTCAGAAAATTTCACAAAATGGCGCCTTGATGACGTCATCAGTCAAGGTCAAGGTTGAAAAAATGTCTGCGTTTTGTTCCAATGCCTATACATATGTGTGCCAAATTTGAAGGCATGTGATTGAGCCATTTTCAAGTTATCTTGTCCACAAAAAAGTGGTTAGAAATAAGAAAAATAAAGAATAAATAAAGGCAATTCTAACGAAATTATAAGGTGGTCTGTACGATATAAAGCCCACCGGATAAATAAATAAAGGCAATTCTAACGAAATTATAAGGTGGTCTGTACGATATACAGCCCACCTGATAAAGATAATGATCATAATCAGGATTTTGTCTACCAAGAGAAGCCTCATTAGATTCAGTGCTATTTTGCCAGAGTGTCCTGCAATTATTATTACTTTGGCGATTGTCAGGAACCCAATTAAACTGGGTAGGAAGTTGCAGATGCTGATTAATGTCTTGTCAAAGGAAATTCAGATTGAGAAATTCAGATTGAGAGTCAAGTGACTGAACCCCTTTACCATGACACCTTCACATCAGTTTGTGAATACTTACTTGGCGTTGGAGTCCGTTTTTCTGTAGGCGTATCAAGAGTGGCCTGTAATCAAACGGAAATATACAATTCTTTTTCGTCAGTATAATCATAATAGATTAATTCATGAAATAACTAAAATTCTTAGAATGTGATATGTAGATTTCACGAAAACAGGATAATTCAGATTTACATGCATAACTAAGTAGAAGAATAAGAATCCAGTAACCAAGCAATCAATGTTAAGTGTATCGTTTTATCATTCAACTTGGTTTCATGAAACTTATTACTGTTCTAACTGCCAACAATTAAATATAATTAAAGGAATGCATGAATGAATAGGTGATAAAGCGAGTAAGTAAAATAGAACAAATAAATTGTTAGATGAACGTTAATTCAATATATCACATACAAAATTTCATCTGGAAAAAAATTAGTTAGTCAATTCTTTAATTACACCGAATTAAAGTGTTCTTAGTGAATGTTTGTATGTCAGATGACCCCGTTATTGAAAACTTACACTTCTTGACGCTGTCGGCACGGTTGTTTCATCTGTAACACCTGTGGATGGAATGAGAATAGCATTAAAAGTATGATCGATGATTTAAACAAATTGATTTATAGAGGAAAACAGACCGTCAGTGATCTTTCAACCTCTCATCGACAAATTAGCTGGCAATGCAGTTTTCACCTTTCCTGCTCGCACACTCTGGAACAGACTACGCCCTCAAATAAAATTCATCACCAACCTGCCAACAGTAGAAAAATTCCAACAGAGTTGGAGACCTTTCTGTTCTCAACCCTTACGCATTCTTTGAACTTACACTGTCACTGCTTGGTAACACTAACTCGTGGATGGCATCTTAGTGCAAAAGGTGCAGTATGAATTGCAACAATATCATTACGAAACATGTAGACCACTTAGAAAACAGTACCAATACATAGTAACTATGTATTGGTTCACCTGAAACTGGGAAACACAAATCGACATATATTCAAGTTGATCTTATTTGGGGATGCGTAGAGAAATATATGTTTATGTTATGTATTCATAACGGTTATGAATACATAATATAAACA